ACAAAATCAGGCTAAGGGAAGAAAAGAGAAATTTCCATTTTGTAGGAAAATACAATGGCCTTGCTCTTCTTAGGGTTGAACCTGACTTCATGATTTTCTACTTTCAGAATTTGTATCTTTTTTTATAGCCTCACTAGCAACAATAATAGTTTTTAAAAGACATTTTCCAGCAAACTATTCTAAAAGACAGCTAGAAAATTGTTTTTGAAATAGAGAGGAAAGCTTTGGGGAGGGTGAATGGAGGTAAGGTTGAATTTGAAAAAAAGTTTCTTGTCTGTTCAACTTCTGTACAGGAAGAGAATTCTGAAGATTTAGAAGAATTACCTAAAATAAGTTCAGAGACAAACAGCACCGTCTCAGGGACCATGGAAGAAAGAGGTGAGGGAACGTGGCCTGAGCCCTCAGAGCCGTCAGCATCTTTCTTGTGGTGCTTCATGCTGAACCTTGGTTCCCTGGTTTGCCTTCCCTGAGTGATGTGGAGAATACAGCACTTGGGAAGCAGTTTGCCTTTGGATCCTGCTGCCCACAAAGTGCTGCTCCCCAGCTCCCCACACTCGGGAGCGTTACCTTTGGTGGTGGAAGCTTGAAAGTAAAGTCTGTGCCGTGTGACCGTAACTGGGCAGGGTGCCGGGGTGGTCGTGTGGCTGCAGCTGGGCAGGGTGCCAGGGTGGCCGTGTGGCTGCAGCTGGGCAGGGTGCCAGGGTGGACGTGTGGCTGCAGCTGGGCAGGGTACCAGGGTGGCCGTGTGGCTGTAACTGGGCAGGGCGCGGGGGTGGCCGTGTGGCTGCAGCTGGGCAGGCCATGGAGGTGGCATCTCACCTGGGAAGCCTGACCCTGGCCACCTGTGCTGACCTGAGCTCTGCCTCTTCTGCAGACGAGAGCAGCAGTGAAGCTGCCGGCGAAAAAATGGAGCAGAATGACGATGACACCATCAAATCTCAAGAGGTGAGAAATGTTCTCCATGCTGATTTGTTTAGAGTTCTTTAAGTTCTGAAACCAAATTAAATGTGTTAAATGCCGTTACCTGAAGTTTTCCTCTGCGCTCTTGATGGAGGTTTGGCTCTTCTCCTTTTTAGTGTTCTGTGACACCATTTCACAGGGTGCATTTCATCAGGGTCACTGTGATTAATGTTGCTCTCTTCATCTCTGCTTCATCAAGTCGTTTGTATGAGACCTACTTCTGTCATGGCCAGGTAGGGTTGACCCAGCGCTCTACCTCAGTAGACCTGGGCCAGGTGCCAGGACAGGGCAGCAAACAGGAGCGGCTGGGCCGGGGCGTCCAGCCAGGATGAAATGGGAGCAGGAAGCGGCTGGCAGGAGGCTGGCAGGAGGGCCTGAGGGCACCCGGTTCCACAGACAAGGTCGTGGGTCCCACGAGGCTGCAGGAGCAGACGGACCATTTCTGCTTCACTGCTCTAGGCCCACTTAGATTGGCATAGAGTCCACGGGGCAGAGACTCACCAGGGCTAAGGCCAAGCCTCATAAACCAATGGTTTATTCTGTGTTAATCAGAACTTCTAGATAACCATTGCCAAGTTTGCCTTTTTTTTTTTTTTTTTTGAGACAGAGTCTCACTATGTCACCCTGGGTAGAGTGCCATGGTGTCACAGCTCACAGCAACCTCCAACTCTTGGGCTTAAGTGATTCTCTTGCCTCAGCCTCCCAAGAAGCTGGGAGTACAGGCACCTGCCATAACGCCTGGCTATTTTTTGGTTGTAGTTATCGTTGTTTGGCAGGCCCGGGCTGGATTTGAATCTATGTGGCTGGCGCCTTAGCTGCTTGAGCTACAGGTGCCAAGCCAGTTTGCCAGTTTTTAATTTTTCTCCTCATACTTGTGTATGAGAAAGTCAGTGGACTCCTTTATTACTTATAAGGGATAACATTTGGTTGCAAGTAACTTGGACTAAATCCCAGTGTAAATGGACGTACATATTTATTACATAAATTGAAGGTAACACTGAGCCCTTGGGTTTCCACACCTCATGACTGAATTCACATGACAGTTGCCAGCATTTCTCAGGCAGAAGAACTGCAGTGAGAAAAAATAAACAGTAAGCCCAAGGTCACATGTGTTTTAAGTGACAAAGCTGGGGTTTGAGCCCTCTTAGGAAGGAACTCGAGATCTCATCTTGAGAAAAACATCTTATTTGTATTATAGAGCATAAAATTATTATTTTTTTATTGCTTCTTCTTTATTGCTTCTTTTTTTTTTTTTTCATTTTCCCCTTAGGAAGATCAGCCAATAATTATTAAAAGGAAAAGAGGAAGACCTCGAAAATATCCTGTAGAAACAGCATTAAAAATCAGTAGGTATTTGGTGTGTTTTCAGATCACACAAAAGATTTCAAATTGTTTTTCTACACTTGATCTTAGCCAAAAGGCCGAGAAGCGATCAAATTGATTTTCTAAGTGAGTTTTTTTTTTTTTTTTAGAAGATTCCAAAACAGATACAGATACTGGAATTGTTACTGTAAGTAATTACAAAAGATGACAATTTTAAATATTTGCTCTTGTTCTGGGAAGGGTATACTGCACTGTCTAGTATTTTGAACTACTTTATTTTTTTTAAGTATTTGAAAAGCTTTAGAAGACTTTCTTAAGTAAAACACTCAAATATTTTGATTAGCATTATCTTCATATAAACAGAATTATATTAGTTTTCAGTCTGACTCCATCCTCACTTATGAGTTTGATTATTTAAAAATTATTTAGAGACTTAACCTTCTTGTGGTCGCTCTTGGTTAAAATACAGAAATTAGCTCTTTTATGTGATTTTTGAGGTAGGCTTCTTTATGAAGACCTCCGAGATGTCTTCGCCGTCTTAATAGTTATATGGAGTTCTTTTTGTACTAAGATGTACACTGATTTCAGTGCAGGAAAATCCTCAGTGAGACTTCATTTTTCACCCTTCTTTATCCTTGATCCTGAAGCATTTGCCATGAAGCGATCATTGTGTCAGGATTCCATTGCTTGCCCTTCAGTGACAGCATCACAGGGGGTCAGACACAGCTCCGCTGATGTAAAAAACGCGTGTGGGATTCAAGCCTCAGCTTTGCCACTTACTAGCCAGTCCTGTGACCCTGGGGAAACTCGGTTTAGTTGGGATAATGATACCTTTAGTATCTGCTTCACAGAGTTTTTATAAGATGACAGAGCTAGAGAGCCGCATGTGTTTCCCGGCATGTTAAAGTGGTTTGCATTTGGGAGAATTAGCAACAGTGGCCACACTGTGTGCTGCTTAGCAAGAGGCCTGCTGGGAAGCCTGTGTGTGCAGAAGCATAGCGTCTGTGTTCCCTAAAATACACTTCCTAAACTAGAGAAGGCAGGTCTCGATACGTCGCCGCCCTAAATAGAGACCCCAACTCGTTACATTACTGATTGCATCTCTATGTGATGACAATAAACTGCCAGTTTAGACTTTTTGTTTGTGTGTTTAAACTTAGGGAGAACAGTCTCCACCCAGCAGCAAGCTGAGAGCCGTGCAGCCAGGTACGTGCCGACAGCATTTTGCACAGGAGCTGAGGAAGGATGGGAGGCTGGCTGTGGGGACTTCATTGAAATGGGTACAACCTGTTGTGCTTACCACTGTGATAGACGACACCTATTGGCTTACAGAGAGCCCAGGACTCAGAGATAAAGCAAATGTTTTGATTATTTTCATCTTTGTTCCAAGGAGGAAAAAATTCCACGATGTTGATAATAACTAACTCTGGGAGGCAGAGCAGAGGGAGCGTTGCCAGTTGTTTATTACTGTTGCGTGTGTTTTCCAGACTTTTTATAATGTTTGTGTATTAATTTCGTAGTTTAAAATGTTTTACCTAAAAGCAAGAAGAGCCACTGGTGACCTTTAAAGGGCTGATAATAAGCCTCAAAGATGAACGGAATACCTATTTTGTATTAAACAGATAGCGTGATCAGATCAGAGGGTACAGATGCTGAGGAGCAAGGGGAAGCAAAGGTATCATAGAAAACTTTCCCTACGTTACCCAGGTGCCGTCTTGGGATCAGACTTCAGTTTTCTTGTCTCTTAGTAAATTAAGCTTTGTTTAATTTTAAAAAATGAGAGGAGATTCTGCGAGTTGAATTTTTAACTAGTTTTTATTAATAATTTTAAGGTACTTTAAATTCATACAAGAAATCTTTGTAACTTGAGTGTCGTTTACGGAGTCCAACTTAATCTTTGGGCGTTGTTATTTAGCAGTAGTTTTCTAAATCTGAGTAACGATGGCGAGACTCTTGGCCTGTAGAGTTAACTTTTCCATCTTCGTTAGGACATTGAACCTACAGAAGTAAAGCAATTCCTGCAGAGTCTTCATGACTAATAAGCAGAACCTTTGAGTTTTTCATTGTCTAATCTACATTCTCATAATTTGAACTTCAAATAGTACATTGAACTTATCTTCATTTTTCTCTCCAAAGTAGTCTCAGAAAATTGCAACATCTACAAAAAGCAAATGCGTAAAGAAAAGGAATACACAGTCTACACATAGGCTTATAATATATATTTGTTACGTTACCACGATATAAATGTTTGGAGTCAAAAGAATTCCAACTATCACTGCACTGTGACTCTGAATAAATTATGTAAATCAAGTTAATCCTGGGTTTTCCAAACTATAGAATGAGATTGTAACACTTAACACAGCTACGTGAGCTTTAAAAGTATGGGTTGAGTATTCCTTATCCAAAATGCTCGGGAACAGAAATGTTTCAGATTTTGCAGTATTTGCATTTACCGTTGGAGCACCCCTAACCCAGAAATCAGACGAGCGTCTCCGCCGAGTGTCACATCAGTGCTCCAGAAGCTCCGGGTGTTGGAGTGCCTGGACCTCAGATTTCTGGGTCAGGGAATCTCAACCTGTGCACCTTCCGGACTCGCAGGCTCTGGCCTGTCCTGTGGGCTTCCTGCCCCTCTCCTTCCTTCCTGGGATTAGAGCTTTTGAACTGAAGGGGACTGTGCAGGTGGTGTAACCCACCTCCTCATCTTACAGATGAGCACTCCTGGGGAGTTCAGGTCATCTGCCCAGATCACATAGCTTGTTTGTTGGAAGTTGTGAAATGGAAACTTTGATTAATCAGCTTACATGTCTGAGGTGCTCTGCAAGGTATTCTGAGTCTATCTTTGCTTGACCGATAAAAAACAATGGTAAATTGTATAACAATGCATTAATTAGCACTGGTGCATTGACAGATAAGCCAGAGACTGTGAAAATCTAACTTTCAGTAGCAGAGTATTCATGTAGAGATTTCCCTTTTTCTTAAAGATGAGCTCAATAAAGAGACGGCTGACCTACAAGAAAGAAGCGTAAACAACGTAAGTGTCGCTTGTCTTCTGGGCACAGGCCCTCCAGTAACAAACTTACAGATGCTCAGTCATCCTCCTTTCAACCTTAACTTCATTGCTTCTAGGACGATGGTGAAGAAAAAGTAGCAAGCCTGCGTCGGAGAGGGAGGAAGCCCAGACGCTCACTCACGCTTTCCGATGACGCTGGTATGTTTCTAGCAGATTCTTAATTTTACAGAGTCTTATTATTTCAAAATCACTATTTTAAGAGTTTGTCTTTAGATGAGGAAAAATTCAGAAGAATATAGCTAGCATTGGTATTACATAAATATGTGTGAAATAGCTCTAATCCTGTGTCAGAAGTGGCACATCCCAGATGCTTTTCTCAGTACATGTGAGTTTTTCATGAGTGCTGGCTGTGAACTGTCTAAGTAAACTATCCCAAATGTGTTTGAGATTAAGCTAAACAGTTGTGAATTGCAAGTGCTGAAACAAAAAGGAAGTGGAAAACCACTTCCCTGCCTCCAAGTCCCTAATATCCTAAGTTCTAAACGCCACGACTCCTTTGCAGATGTCTTGGGAATTGTACAACCCAGGTGTTACCCTTCTATTTGGACAGAATTATCAGAACCAGAACGGAAACGCCAGAAATCAGTATCTGAAGCAACCGAGGACAAGAAAGATCAGGAGTCCGATGAGGAGGAGGAAGAGGAGGAGGAGGAGGAGCCCTCGGGAGCCACCACCAGATCCACGGCCAGATCCGAGGCTCAGAGGTAATGGGCCACGTGGGGCCACTGAAGACCTTCCCCAGCTTCGCATCGGGCTGGCCTGGGGCTTCCTGGGTCCTCTGGGAACTGACCTGCTCCGGCCATGCTGGAAGTTCTTTCCTTTGGTTTTGCCTCCAGAAGGGGCCGCACGCTCTCAGCCTCTGTCACTCTGGTTCTTCTCGGAGAATCTATCTTCCGTCTTAAACCATTCTGGTGGATCACTTCACAGTCTTTACCACGCTTTGAGTGCCTGTGTGGTGGAACCCATTCAATTCTTTTACATGTGTGTTTTGAGCACCTGTTATGTCTCAGGCACTGTGTGTGGTGCCTGTGACACAGGCCCCTGCTCGGCACACACACGCCACTGTCCTCTCGTGCATCTGGCGCGTGGTGTGTGATGGGTTGATCAGAGGAAATTATCCTTACTTGACCATTTTGATTTACATAATTTCATACATTTCCCAAGGGTGCTCTCTCAACTCTAGTAGAGCAGAAGCCTTCAGGGAAAAGCAGACCATGTCACACACATTCAGGAGTGCCAATGAGTCCCCTTCTTATCTGTCACAATGCTCATTAGAATTATTAAGTGTTTGGCAAAGTCCCAAAGGAAAGAAACCAGTTTGACTCCGCTTACGTGAGCATTGCCTGCCCCTCACACTCCCCTCCTGTGGCTGGCCTGTGGCGTCACTCCTGTTAACACACCCAGTGCTCCTTTCCTGACAGCACATTCTGAGATCCAGCGCATGACTATGGAGTCTCCTCCTAAGGTTAATACGTTTTTCAACAGCAAGAATATGTTTCATCTTTAATGTGATCTGCAAACAGTTAATCTCAGTATCATCTTACATAATTTTATTATCAAAGATTCAAAAAAGTGCAAGAACATTTATTTCAAAAGTACCACTAGTTAACACTGTAGTGATGATGTCTCATATTTACATAAAGCCTGTAGGTCAGCAAGTTTCTAATTCCCTCAGACCTGCACATCCTCAGCATTCATGGCAGGGGCCGATTTCTCAAAGATTCTAGATCCCAGGGCTAAAGGTAAAGTGGTCTCATGTTTGTCCTTTAGGTAGGCAGCTCAAAGAAACAGAAGTCACAGAATGAAGATTCCTGCTGATAGGCAAGGAGCCGTGTCACCCAGCACCCTGCACTGGGGACAGAAATCCCAGTGGTACCACTGCTCCCTCTCACACAGTAGAAAGGTCATTCAGCACAGTAGGACTGAAGTGCAGTGGGGCTTGACTCAGGAAGAACCGAAGGCCTACCAGCTGCCTTCAAATGTCCAGAAGTAGCTCTCAGATTTGTCATTCAAAAATTCTTTAGAAGTCCTAGGGCTGGGCCCAGCAACTCACACCTGTAATTGCAGCACTCTGGGACACCAAGGTGGGTGGACTGCCTGAGCTCAGGAGTTGGGAGACCAGCCTAAGCCAGAGCAAGATCCCCATCTCTAAATAATAGCTGGGCATTGTGGCAGGCCCTATAGTCCCAGTTACTTGGGAGGTTGAGGCAAGAGGATCACTGGACCTCCTAGCATTGGTCACGTGTTCCCAGGGTTCTCGTGTCTTTATAATTTCACAGAGTCTCTGGGTTGGGTGGGCTCCCCATGGCCATCTAGTGCTCCTGGTCCGATGGTGCCCGCATCACTGCCCTGCAGCCCTTCTGGAAGGTCTTCAGGGTTTGCCCATTCCTCCAGGGCTGGCAAAGCCGCTCCTCCTTGGCCATCTCTCTCATCTTTAGCAGGAGCTGGCCACCCAGGAGCTTCTGTTTTCCCTGCTAATCTCCACTTCTGGAGCCTTCTATATGCTTTACATGTGCGGTAGAAGCTTCCGGTCTCCTCCGCTTGCTTTGAGCCCCCACCCTCCGTCTTGTCCCCCAGTCTGTCTATGTCCCCTTTAGAAGCAAGTGTTCTCCATCACGCCTGGGCTCAGGAATCCAGAAGAGGATGGTCCCACCCTGTTTTCTAGACACTGTTCTCCCAAGTGTATTCCCATCCCTGAGTTTACTCAGCTTTAGCCACACGCCAGCTATTTTACTGGTAGATCAGATTTTCTCTTATCTTCTTCTTGCATAATTGACTCTTTGGGCTGTAACACTTAGCCCACTGCTGTGAATTGCACTTTCATTAATCTTGGCCCCTCTGCTCTGAGGAGCCTTATTTTGTATTTTCCTCTGACTCTTCTTCTAAATGACGATAACATACCACACACAGTAAGAGCGAGGACGGACCCACGCCGGCAGTTAGTCAAGGGCGACACAAAGGCCTGCTTCCGAGCAGCCGTCAAGAGAGCGAACCATGTTCCTGCTTTCAGCCACAAGGAGCCTCATCCTTTCGGGAAGTCTGGAGCACTCAGTGCTGCACCGTCTAGTTTTCCACACCCTACATCCAGGCACTCCATCTGCACGTGCAGCAGCCAAACTCGGCAGCCCAGTGACAGTTTCTCCTAGAAATCGCCAAAAGTCAGCAAAGAGGAGTTACCAGCAAAACAGTCAGCAAACCTCCCCAGTTAGGGAGGTATGTCCCTGCTTCCACTCAAGTCATTGTTAACTCCCTGGGACCGATTTCGGTACAGTAATGCTTTCTTCCTAATTCCCTTTAAGATTTCTACCTCAGCAAATAATGTGTCCCTGGGGGCCATTGGTTTCTAGGAGGAATAGGAAGGGCTGCAGAGGGTCTCCGTGGGCCTGCCAGTCTGGCACCGCCCCATGTACCTACCACACAGGCTCGTCTTCGACACCGCTGGGCCTTATCTGCTGATTCCATCCAACAAGACCAAAGTCAGAGCAGTGTGCTAAAGCCTGGAACAGCCCAGAAGCCTTTGTGTCAGCCAGAGCGCTGGAGAGGTGACCAGGCGACAGAGGAAGACGCCCTCGTCAGGCCCAGCCTGCCTCTGCTCCCCCCTTCCCCTGTAGCGCTACTCACCCTCCTGCTTCCCACTGGTGGCCACAGGCCACTGAGCAATGCCCTTGCCTCCAGCCGCCAGAAGCCAGGTGCTTCCCCCCAGCCAGGTACCACCTTCTGGAGACACCGTCCCCACCGTCCACACCGTCCTCAGTGCTCAGGCCAGTTTCATCTCCTTCCCACTGCACTTTGAGTGCTCAGGACGCCACATCCTGGGGTCTCAGGGTTGCTGGTTTGTTTTTCCCTCTGAGATAAAAGCTGCTTCCTTGAGGTCAGGAACTTGTCTTACTCTGTGCATTCAAGTCTTAAGACTCTTCACGACCTACCAAACCCGTTTACCGTCTCACACCGCATGTCGATCTCCACAGGGTCTGACCTGTGGCCGCCTGGTGCCCACGTTAGAGAAAGCAACAGTGCGTGCCAGAACCACATCATCTGTACCCACTGGAGTCCCTTTACTGTGCTGTCACAGGCACAGTAAGCAAAGTCCGTTTGTGGGTGAAGTCCCTGTCTCCATCTGCAGTTTTAGTTTCGGGAGGCTTTTCATTCACTGATGGGACACGTACCTTTACTGGTTGCTTTCCAAGTGGTGGGTAGATCAGCACTGATGTTAGGGAAGGGACGAAATCTCAGCCGCTGTCGTAGTAGCATCCTGTCTGATGGGGGGACGTGTGCGTATAGTGACAGCAACTCGAGTGAGAAACTGGTGTTCAATACAACAAGTACACACTTTCCTCCTGCTATGCCCGAGACAGAACATCCTGACAGAAACTCCATGGACATGATAGAAAGGGTGTTCTCCACTGTGTTCTATAACTACCTGTAATCTGCAGTTTGAAAAACAGTGTTTAAATTACAGGGGTAAGTGTTGTGAACACCCACAGTGCTGTGGCCTTTCCAGAGGAGGACCAGCTTCCTCACCTGTGGAAAGATTCCCAGAGCAGTAACTTGTGAATGGAAAGTGTTTCTTATTTTTAGAAACAAGGAAGTTTATCAGATGGGTGGTGTGGGGTGATTTTAAAAAAAAAAAATCAGTTTTCAAAACATATATCCAGGAAAGGTCAACTACATAAAACATACAAAGAATTTTTAAAAGTCAAGAAAATGACAACCCTGTTTGAAAATAAGCAAGAGATCTGAACAGACAACTCACAAAAAGATATACAGATGATAAATAACCATATGAAAAGATGTTATGCCTTCAGAGAACTGCACATTAAAACAATGATATACTACTATATACCTGTTAACAATGGCAAAAATTCAAAATACTGATACCACCTGGCAAGAATGTGGAACAACAGAAACTCATGTATTGCTTATGGAAATTCAAAAATAGTACAGCCGCTTTGGAAAACAATTTGGCAGTTTCTTACAAAACTAAGTATCCTCTTAATCCTATGATCCAGCAATGATACTCTTTGATATTTGTGCAAATGGGTTGAAATACATTTATATAAAAATCTGCACCTGAAAGTTTGCGGCTACTTTATTAATTGCCAAAACTTGGAAGCAAGATGTTCTTCTTTCAGTTGGTGAATGGATAAATTGTAGCCTATAAAGACAACAAAACATTTGGTACTAAAATTGAGCCGTAAAGCTCTGAAAAGATACGGAGAAATCGTAGATGCATTCTGCTTAATGAAAGAAGCCAGTCTGGAAAAGGTGCCTACTGTGTGATCCATGGCCTTCCAGACAAAGCAGAACTGTGGAGATGGTGAAAACATCAGCGCTTGCCAAAGGTTATGCAGAGGGAGTGATAAGGGGGCAGAGCACAGTGGCATTTTGGTTAGTGAAACTGTCCCATATGATACTGTAATTAATAGTGCCATTAGACACCTGTCAGAATATGTAGAAAATGTACTACAAGAATGAAGCTCAGTGGAAACTCTGGATCTGGGCTGATAGTGATATGGTGGGGTGGGGGCAGACTGTGGGGACAGAGGTCATAGAGGAACTCTGTACTTCACATACTATTTTGCAGTGAATTAAGTGCTCTAAGAAATGGTCTATTAAAATATAAAATGCAGAGGAGGACTGCAGTCCGAGACAGTGCAAAAGCAGAGGGCACGTTTATAAGGGGTGACTTCATCCTGAAAGCACCAGAGACCCAGGAGGGGTTTTATCTCCAGGACTGTAACATGATTAGAATTTGTAGCCCTTCTAGGGCTACAGAACCAAAGTTGCTGTGCCTTTTTGAACATCGTTAGCTGTGTTCTAGAATATTGAGCTGTGAAGCAGGACTTTGTGTGTCATCAGACCTAGGTCACAGTCCTACTGTGTTCTTGCTAGTTGTTTGAACTTGGAACCATTTGTGTGTTGGTAGGACTAGCAGTTCATTTCTTTGTTTTTGTAGAGCAGAAGACTAGGGCCCAGAGAAGGAGACCTTGCCTTGGTCAAGGTCAAGACCTAGAATGTGATGGAGCTGGGACCAGAACACAGGCTTCCACGTCCCCTCAGCACCCTCTGTGTGTCTGCGAGGTTGCCAGCAAACAGCTGGTTAGCTCCAACTCTTTGATAGCTTCTTTCCCGGTATAAATGGTACTGGGGCTTTCTCTTCTTAGCTGACAGGTTCAAAATTCTTCTGTTTTTTTAAGGAACTCCTACATTATTTGAAGCAGCTGCTTTTACCTCTCACCATTGCCTTGACTTTTGTTCAATGCAGATCGAAGGCACAGCTCTCCCCTTCTACCAAGCGCAAGCGAGAAGTCAGCCCTCCCGGGGCCCGGACGAGAGGCCAGCAGAGGGTGGAGGAGGCCCCTGCGAAGAAAGCGAAGCGATAATCCTGCCCCTGTGCCCCCGGCTTGTAGGGGAAGACAGTAGAAAGAGAAGGGACGCGCCTCCGTGGCCACAGGCTTCTTTGTTTTTAATCAGAAAAAGGATGTGCATGTGCTGTAAGTTCCTAGGTGCAAGCTTTCTCGTTACGTTTTAAACAGCTTTATAAACTATTGTTCATAGAAGATATTATGTACATTTATTTCAGATAAAGGAAAATAAGTTTACTTTGTATCTGAATTCAAAACAAAGTAGTTGTATATTTTAACATTTGAAATTGGGATTTCCCAATATGATACATCATTAATGCAAACCCTTCCAGCCCCCTCAGACGCCAAGCTGCCTGCTGGTGATCTGTGTATAGTATACAAACATGTAAAAATAGGTTGTATTTTACTCTATGTATGATGCTAATCAATGAACACTTTATTTATTTTACAGAGAAAACTTATCTGTGAACTTTACTATATATCTGTTTATTTTATTTTATTATTTTTTTTAATAAAAGGTTTTAAATGCTATGCAGTCAATAGTAGGAAAGTTTTTAGGACCCTGCCTGCCCGGTACCAATCCGAGTATGACCTGGCAGAAACTCTCGCATGTACCCAAGTGAAGTAGTTTAGCTGAAGAAGGGTTCTCCATCGCGTCTCTGTTCACAGTCGTGACTCTGTTTTTTAAGAATGTAACTTGTTTTTAGATTATACTTGCGTGCGTAACTTCATGACCAGCCCCACTGATGTGAAAGGTGCTGGTTCAGGTGGTTACCCCGGTCACCTGCGCAGAAACCCCTCTGTCGATGCTGAGTCCTCTCCTCTGCTATTCTGACGCTTCTACCCGTATTCTCTCCACGTCATCCTTTTCGCTGAAGAGAAATGCATTGATTAGGTCCCCTCGTCTGCAGTTCAGGGTTAATGTTGTTTTATACACATACTCTATCTTGTTTCGGGATAGAAACTGGCTTTATTGCCAGGTGTCTTTTTAAACATGTTTTAACTCCCATGATGAGCAAACTGTCCAACTTAAGTTTTTCATAGAATTAAACCTTTCTTAAGATCAAATTTGTCTCTTGCAATGATGTGATAAGTTGCCAAATAATTGAGATTATTTTAAAATGTTTTGTTCATATTCTTGTTTTATAATTAAAATTTACATTCAGTGTGTGTGGGGTTTTTTTTTAACTCTTAATGTAAGGTGGATATTTCTGTCATTTTACATGGTTTCTTACTGAGATTTTATATATAAATTATAAAATGTTTCCCAAAACTTGAAGTGGTAAGATTTTTTTTTCTGTGTTGTAAAATTCCTCCCCTTGAAAATCATTTCTTCTCTCTGTATAATTGGTCTTAGAGCTATTCTTCCATTTTCACATTCAAGCATGAGCTAGTGGTGCCTCTCTCCTGGTAGAACTGAACTTTGGATCCAGAAAGGGCCTTAGAGACCAGGAACACGGGAGTTTATCGTTTTTCTGTATGTATATGGATGAGTTTTAACCAAAGTTCAAAAATCTAAAGTGTCTTAGAGTCAGTCAAGGGTAGAAGCTGGACGAGGTTCCAGATCTCTCGATTCCTTGAGTCTTTGCACTGGTCAGTTTTAGAGCAGCTCTCCGGAGCGCACACCTGAGAACTCAGTGTGAAGCCAGCATTGCTCCATTTAGTACCGGCCGCTGTGGACATGACCCTGTGGAGACAGGGTAGTCAAGGTATGAAGAGGTGCTGCCTCTAGTAAAACTGGGACAAAATAGAGGAACTGCACAAAGAATCTTGGCAATCAGCTGGACCCCTAGTAACTTCCAGTGGTGCTGAAACTTAGCCCAGAGGCGGTGCTAGGAATATGTGGGGAATTCTGAGTCGGGACAGTGAGTTGTACTATTCATATTTAGTAGAAGGAAGGAGGTCAGGAATGGAAAATGTCGTACAATTCACAGGACAGTCCACTCCAAAAAAGGGTCCAACTAAAATGCCACCAGTGTCCACTCACCCACTGAGAAGCACTTGCCGCCCATCCCCAAACTTCCCACCTCTCGGCTCAGCTGCCCTTGCCACGAACCCAGGCCTTCTCCATGAGCTGCCTGAAGTCTCCATCTGCTCCCTCAGCCCCGAGTGAGACCCACCGGGGCAGAGGTGGGTGGGGGGGCACTCCTCACTGGAAGTCTGGAATCCAAGCAGTCAGTCCTTCCCTCCCTACTTCAAGTTTATACCCCTCAAGTCCTACCTTCTGGCCTTCTTAAATACCAAAACCTACTGACTAAGGCTTACCAGAACCACGCCCATCATGGGAATGGCTTTTAAGGATATGAGCAGCCGCTAGGCACAAGTGAGGCGTGCGGGCCCAGAGTGGTCAGCAGGATCGTGCAGGCCAGGGCAGTCAGCAGGATGCTCCTGTCCTCAGGTTAACGCAGGAGGTTCCTAAAGCAACTGCAGCCTTGTTCCTTAGAAGGAAGTCATTTCAGTAGTGGGACATCTTTGGTCATGTAGGCTGTGTGACATTGTCCAGGGGTCTATGTCCCATAAAACAACAGATTCCAAGGAGAGGGTATTGTTTTCTTATTGCTGTGATCCACCCTGGACAGACCAGGTACATTCTGCTAAAATCATTTTGTAAGTACTGACTCACTTACAAATACCATTAGGTGTTTGCCCAGGGGCCTAGAATCAGCACATTTCTAAAAATTAGTAACTATAGTTCCCCTTTCTTTCCTGGGACCATCCTTTGGAAAGGATCCATATTACTCCTACGTTTGAGGCAATAAGCTTTATGTCTTATTTTAGTCCTGGTCCAGGAAGCTATTAGAAATGGCACCAGTTACTGCAATAAAGATGTGCTGTGGTTTGAACGTGACCCCAGAGCTCAGGTGTTGCAAAGTTAATCCCCCTCCCTCCATGGCAGTGTTGGGAGGTGGGGCCTGGAAGAGATGGCTAGGTCAGAGCCCTCAAGAATCAATGAGATCGCTGTCACGAGTGGGCTCCTGACCCTTGGCTGCCCAAGCTCTCTTGTTCTTCCACGACAGGACTCATCAGAGAGGCCCTGGTGATACAGCAAGCCCATACCTCTTGGACTTTCCAGCCTCCAGAACGGTAAGAAATCAACCTCTGCTCTTTATAAATTACCAAGTCTGTGGTATTCTGTTTTGTCAGCCCAGAAAGACCGAGGCATTAATTTATTGGGAATTAACTTAAATAGCTATTAACTGAAAAGCAAAATCACGGCCATCAGCTGCCACTGCCAGGGTGAAAAATTGTTCTCGGGTCATGATAATAAAAGAGTCACCAAACGCTAAGAAGCAAGACCTTCCAACCCCAGCCTCCTTGACGCCCACTAGGATCTCCTGTTGACAGAACTTAGCAGGGAGCCTGCTGCCTAGGTAGGAACCTGGTTTGCAGAGCCCTAGTCCTAGCACCACATAGTACCTGCCATCCTGTGGTCCTCTGGCTCTTCAAGAAACTGTCTCCCTGATTTAAAAAGCATACAACTGACTAGACACAGTGGCTCACACCTGAAAACCCAGCACTTAGAGAGACTTAGCAGGGAAGATCATCAAGCCCAGGAGTTTGAGACCAGCCTGGGCAACATAGCAAGACCCTATTTCTACACATTTTTTTTTTAATTAGCTAGGCATGTCGATGCATGCCTATAGTCCCAGCTACTCAGGAGGATGAGGCAGGAGGATTGCTTGAGGCCAGGAGTCTGAGGTTACAAGCATTATTGTTTGTTGTGTCTAAAAATTATAGCTAATATATCATTGATCGTTTCAGATTCTTAAGATTAAATACATACACCCTTTCTATGTAAGCCATAGCTCAATAAATCTGTCCGCCCTCTGCTCCCTGAGACCCCGACTTCCTTTCAGCCTGGATGTGGCTCGGTTCCTGAAAGATGGCTTGGACGGAGATGCTTTTGCTTGTCCTTCTGATGCGTCTCAATGACTCTGAATTTACACAACGCACATGTCCTCATCCCCAGTTCACCTGCAGTTGTGCCGGGTTCCTCCGAAGCCTCCTCAAACCTTTGACAGTTCCCAGGACCGCTCAGTTCCAGCTGTTCCTCTGACATCCATTAAGCTCATGCACCACCACAATATCCTGCTTTTCTCTTCCTGTGTCTAGCCACACTTACTCAGATGGAATGACAGCGTTTGCTGAAACTCCTTCACATAAATCTCTGTGGTGAGATTCCCCCCCCACCTTAAGCCCCTTTCTCTGAAAACACAGCCCTCCGGCCCTTTCTCCTTCACATCCTAGTCCACAATGTCTCATAATGGAAATAAACATCTCCAAGTTAGGTCCCAGAATATGATTTAACAACAACAAAAGAAACTAAAATATGTGTTTTGTACTATAAGCCCATGGGAACAGCTATGTAACTAAGGACACAGCATACAGACCAACAGTGCGGCTGGCCGTGTTCTAGATGTGACCAGGAAACACATACCTCAGGTTCCTGCCCTGCTGATCTCACAAATTGTGCTGAGGCTAAAATGAGACCATCCAATTCAATGAATTGGCTAAGAGCTGGAATGCTCCAGGCCCAAGGTAGGGAACGTTTTCAAGTTGGAAGGTTGCATTAATTGGGCTGTGAATGCACAATAAGGCACATTCAAGAAACTTTAATTAGATATACCTTAAAGCAAACACTATGCTTTAAAAATCCAACTACTCTGTACTTAATAATTCCCCAAAAAATGAAAAGTATTTATTAAAGTTAACTAACCTTTTACTGGCTTTGTTTTGTCTGCTTTTTTGTTGGGAAGCACATGAAGATTTGGTGGCAGCATGGAGACCTGTGGTTTCAGCTGATCTGAAAACGAGTATCAGTCATGTGTGACTTTAAAGACGTCTTGATTTGGGTCAGGGAAGGAGAATGCAGATTCACAGCAAGAAGTGGTTGAAAAGAAAGCATTTGGGGGGCGTGTTGCTAAAGGTGGAAGTATTCTACTGCATTGCTCCATATTTCAGTTGGATCTTTCTTAGCATCAAACAATAACTTTAAAATGTCATGGAGGTGGAACTGAGAGCTTGATCAATTCCACCTGTAGTTCTTTAGTTGCCTTGGTGATATCAGCTAGGTGAGACTGAAATGCTAATTTGAGTGTGACTTCTCAAAGTCAGTGAACTTGTCATCATGTTCCCTAATTAATAGGTCTAGAACAGCTGTGTATTCTTCATTTTTTTTTTTTTTTGAGACAGAGTCTCACTTTGTCACCCTCGGTAGAGAGCCGTGGTGTCACAACTCACAGCAACCTCCAACTCTTGGGCTTCAGCGATTCTCTTGCCTCAGCCTCCTAAGTAGCTGGGACTACAGGCACCCCCCACAATGCCAGGCTATTTTTGCTGCAATTCTCCTTGCTGGCCGGGGCAAGGTCTAAACCCACCACCCTTGGTATATGGGGCCGGCGCCCTACCCACTGAGCCACAGGTGTCACCCTTCAATGTTCTTATCACAAAAAAGAGGCAAGTTCTGGCCCAGAGCCTTCAGCATCTAGCTGGAGTGTGCAAACATTGTCTTATCACAATTATACATATTTTGACTTTATTTATGGCAGGGGATTAATGGTGTTCTATTTGTTTATATAAACTAGAGCCTCTGTAAGAACCAAGGGACAGTAACAAACTCACCAATTATACGGAGGTGGTCAACACGAGGAACTCAGCCTACTGTACTGATATGTACATGTGGTACATGTCCAGTCCATGAAAATTAGGTCAACTTAAGGAGGGCAGTGTAGAGGGGTGGTCACTAGGAGGCTCTGCCATATTTATAAATATATCTGTGTTCCATGTTTATTTCTATAAAAGTTCTTTTGAAAATAAGGTATTTTCAAGTTTCAAAAAGGAAGTCATTTGAATCAAGGTATTAAGGGAATAATGGTTATTGGTGGAAACCTACAGGTGGAAAATGTGAAAGGGTTAGGGCTACAACTTAGGACAGGTTACTCTAAAAAAGCCACACTGTCATTTAAGTATCTTTGTTTATTGTCACTGGGTGGCACCTTTGCTAGAGTACCTGGATTTGATTAAGGATCAAATGCTCAATTTGTAACAGCAGCAAATCTCTCTGACACAGTGGCATCCTTATCTCCAAAGGTTA